TTTATTCAATTTATTCATAAATGACTTTGAAATAACAGTAAAGTTTCTATTCTTTAAATAAAATATTTCTTCAACTTGTCTGCATTCCATGTTCTTCTGATATTCTTCCCTTGGGGAGTCTCCAGTATAAAGGCTCCCTTCGACAGCTTTTCTTTTATTTTAAACGGTCCTTCCTACTTTGGATCTAGCTTTCCTTCAGTCGCATTTCGTCCTCCGATGTCTGCTCGACGAAGAACCAAATCTTCTACCGCAAACGATCTAGGCTTCACCTTTTTATTGAACCGGTTTGCAACGAGATGTTTAGCTGCGAAGTTTTTGCAGTGAGCCATAACCCGAGTTTTATCTATCAAGTCCAGTTCCATCGCCATTTTTTTACTATTTTCTTCTTCAGTTTGCGATAATGCCTGGATTCTTCTCCATGACGGCTCTCCCAACTCCACTGGAATCATAGCTTCACATCCATAGGTTAACCTGAATAAGCTTTTCCTCCGTAGACGTCTGCATTGTGGTTCTGTATCCCCAGAGCACGCAGTACAGCTCTTATACCCATTTTCCTTTGGCGGATTGCTCTATTCTTTTTCTCAGTTCTTCTATAATGACTTGATTGGCTGCTTCTTCCTGACCGTTGGTTTGGGGATGCTCCACTGAAGCAAAGCGATGTCGGATATGAAGGTTTGTCATCAATTCCTGGAAAGCTTTGCTTGTGAACTGGGTTCCATTATCAGTAACTACTTCAGCCGGGATCCCAAACCTGCAAATTATATTTATCTCGAAGAAACGTTGGATTCTAGCCAAGGTAATTGTTGCAACTGGCTCTGCTTCTATCCATTTGGTAAAGTAATCAACTGCCACTATTAACCATTTTAGTTGGCCCTCTGCTGCCGCAAATGGACCCGAAAGATCCATCCCCAACTTAAAGAACAGCCACGGGGCAGTAATTAAGCTTAACTCTTCCGGGGGAGCCAACAGGTTCTTTTCGTGCTTCTGACATTGATCACATTTCTGCACATGCTCCTTGGCATCATTGCCCATGGATGGCCAGAAATAGCCAGCTCTAACCGCCTTCCGAGCTAAAGCCTTACTTCCCACATGCTGGCCATTAATTCCCTCATGGATTTCGGAGTTCAAGCATTTCCGAAAAGGTGAGTAAATCCCTTTTTTGTACAGCTGCCCTTCCACTATGGTATACAGTGCTGTGTCTTTGACTAATTTCCTGGCTTCTTCCTTTCTTGAAGGTGCCATTTTCCAGGTAATCAATGATAATAAAACGCCAATCATCCACCCCTGTTATTTGCATTACGCATGTGGGTTCTGGGATGTTCTGTTTGACCACCGTCCTATGATTTTCTCTTCCTTTGGTACTTGCTAGCTTGGATAATATGTCAGCCCTGCTGTTTTCATTCCTTGAAATATGACTGACATCCACCTTTTCAAATTCCGTAATTAACTGCCTAGCGGAATCTAAATACTTTGTCAGCAATGGTCCCCTAGCTTGGTACCTCCCTGCAATCTGGGAGGTGACCAATTGAGAATCGCTAAACACCTGCAGCCTTCGTGCTCCGAGTTCCTTAGCCTGATGTTGCCCGGCTATGAAGGCTTCGTATTATGCCTGGTTGTTTGACGTTTCAAAACCCATTTGCATGGAATACTCAACGGCTACACCTTCAGGGTTTTCGATTATTAGCCCGGCTCCTCTCCTTTTCGAGTTGGAAGAGCCATCTACATACACTTTCCAGGTATCAGGGCTGTTCGAACTCTAATTTTGGATTGAGGTGAGCTCCCTGACAAAATCTGCCAGTGCTTGGGATTTGATTACTTTGCGAATTTCAAATGTGATATCAAATTCTGATAACTCAACAGCCCAGCTCATCATTCTCCCTGCTAAATCAGGCTTATGAAGGACCTGTCGAATTGGCAGATCAAATCTGACCACAATTTTATGCCCCTGAAAATATGCTTTAAGTCTCCTGGCAGAAATTAACAAAGCAAAGGCCACTTTCTCTAATTTCTGATATCTGAGCTCCGCTCCTTGTAAGAGACGACTTACAAAGTAAATCGATTGTTGTCCTTTTTCATTTTCTTGTACTATGACCAAACTGATAGCAACATCACCCACAGAGAGATACATTATCAGAGTTTCTTTCTCTTTTGGATATGTCAAAACTGGTAGGGAAGCTAGCTGCCTCTTTATCTCTTGGAATGCAGCTTAACATTCCGAAGTCTATCCATATTGCACTTCCTTCCTAAGTAACCTGAAGAAAGGTAATGTTGTTTCTGCAGATCGAGGCAGAAACCTGGTAAGGGGGGCCAATTTTCCTGTCAATTGTTGTATCTCTTTCTTGCTCGTAGGTGCCTTCATTTCGAGCACGGCTCTGCACTTATCCAGATTGGCTTCAATGCCTCTGTGAGTCAGCATAAAGCCCAGGAACTTTCCCACGAAGACACCGAAAGCACATTTTGCTGGATTCAACCGAATGCTATGCCGCCTCAATTTCTCAAAGGTTTGCTCCAAATCTATAATATGCATTGTTGAGTCTAGTGACTTGACTATCATGTCATCTATGTACACTGTTGGGTGGTGAAAAAATATATATTCTGATGGGGGACGTTCCTTTGTTCTAAATTAGTAACAGAAAACAGTTGTTCCCATACTTCCAACCCAAGTGTGCAAGTGCACGCATCAAGTAATAATGGGTGTATTAAGGCCCAGATTATCGTTCCCACGAGGATAGAACTCTAAATATTGTCTTAAACTATTTTATAAAGAATGAAAATGAAAAGAAAAGTTAGTGATTGAAATGTCTGGTCCAACGTTCCCTACTGCCTTGACAACGTTCCTCAGGAACAGTAAGTTCAGTCTGATGGCAAACAATTGCTCGCTGCGTTATATATGTGATCCTTCCTGTTTAAAAGAAGGTGTGATAATAATCATTGGAGTTTGATAGATACAAGATTAAACAAAGTAAAAATAAAACAGTAATAACTATAATAGAGAGACAACAAGGTGGATGGTTTTAAAAATAATTTAACAGAAGGAACAGATTCACTGCTCCATTCTTAAATAGTTATTTCCTCTGCTCAAGACTTAGCACTTTTTGGCTTTGTCCCAGTTTCTTATCTGCCAACTCTGATTCATTAGCTCATGGATTAGATGGCTCACAAGTTTCCATATTCATATGGCTCCCTTGACTCCAACAGGTACTTAGTCCAGAACCTTAAAATGGACGAAGTGGACCCTTATTCCTAAGGTGACCAATAGTGTTTTTGCCATAACACTACATTCCCCCAATGGCTAAGCTGTCTGAAATCCCTTCCTTAAGGAAGTTCCTTTCTCAGTATGTGTTCAATTTCCATTGATACACAATGAATATAGCTTACTTAGCCAAAGAAATACAAAAAGCTTCTGTCAAGAGTTTTGAAAATAATTCTTTAAGAGTTTTACAGCTTATCCGTCCCACAGATATTTCAGCCCATGGCTGATACTTTAAACATAATTATTCTAAACTGAAGTTTCATAGACCCGAGATTCAGTTCAGAGATAACAAGTGGAAAGGAAATAAGAAACACTTATATTGAAATGAAACAAGAAAGATTACAACAAAATATAAAATGGAGAAGATGGTTGATGCTCGTGAGGAGTCTCAAGTGAATGTTACAGAACAAGGTAGAAGTGTTGTCACTTAACTACAGCTACAACTATACAAAATTAAACTACTAACTAATATTTAGGTGATCTCTTCTTCAAGAATTTTATTCCTAAGGAATTCGATGATGTTTTTGTGTTTGGAATGTCCTATTTATAGGCAGAAGAGGGAGTGGCAGTCCTGTAAATCTTTTGGAGTTGGTTTCTTGATTGAAGGAACGGGGCGGTGGCAACAGTGTTTGGAAGCTTGCAAATTGCTTGATGGGACAGTTTTTGTTGATGATTAGTCGTTTTCTTGCAGTCCCCCATGCCTTGCTTTCTTCTTAGCCAATGAGAACTCTTGATTCTCTGTTGTCCACTTTTTTGGTGCTTAAGTGGTGCACCGCCTTTGCTTTTAGAAGACGTTGTTTCCACGTTTCCTGCAAAATGAACAGAAGCATTAAATAAAGGGAGCAGGTGTAATAAATGCTCTCAATCTGTTTCCCTTTTAATATATTTTCAAAGGAATACGTCATCATCCGTTCCTCCACTATGTTTTTGTCACAAATGTGCAAAACAAGTGATTTTCATGCTGAAGTTGCTCATCAGATGAGGGAACGGATGGTAGTTTGCCATCAAAATGGGCTTAGATGGGAACGAATTTACGTCCCATCATACACTTCAACACTCCTACCTAGCTGGTCTGAAAACACCTGGTTCATCATCCTTTGATAAGTGGCTCCTGAGTTTTTCAGCCCAAAAGGCACTTATTGTAACAATAATTTGCTTTCTCCGAGATGAACGCTATTTTCTCCTGATCTTCTGGGTGTAATGGGATTTGATTGTATCCGGAGTAGGCATCCATGAAGGACAACATCTGGAACCCGGAGGAGCTATCAACCAATTGGTCTATGTTAGGCATATGGTATGCTTCCTTTGGACATACCTTATTCAGGTCGGTATAATCCGTGCATACTCTCCACTTCCCAGTTGGCTTTTTAACCATTACCACGTTGGATAACCAGGTGGTATATTGTATTTCTTGGATGAATCCTGCTTCTAATAGCTCCTTCACATGATCCTCCAATACTTGCCGACGTTCTGGGCTGAGCTTCCTCTTTTTCTGAGCTACCGTCTTAGATCCTGGATACACTGCCAATTTATGGCAACAGAAAGCAGGGTTTACCCCAAGAATTTCTATCAACTTTCAGGCGAAGACGTCCTTGCTATTCCTCAAGCATGTGATGAGTTTATTTTTTACATCCTTCGTTAATCCTTTGCCGATCTTTATAGTCTGCCTCTATTCTCCAATGGTTACTTCTTCTAATTATCTGTCGGGTTCTGGCCTCAACATCTGAGTATCATCCCTCAAGTCCAATTACACCATGTTAACCGATGTCTTCCCCTTCTGGTTTAGACCGATCTGACTGTCGTTGCTTTCTTTGATCTCAGTCGAAGGTTTAGGTCCATTTTCCACCGCTCTAACTGACTTGAAATAACAATCTCGAGACTCCTTCTGGTCCCCCGCAATGGTGATCATCGTGTTTTGCTTACCAATCATCTCAATTTTTTGATGCTTGGTGGAAACCAACATGTCCCATTCATGAATAGTTGGCCTTCCCAATATCACATTATACTCAGAAGGGAAGTCGGCTACAATGAACCGTACCCTTTCAGATTTGTATGCCTCTTTCGATCCTAGGATAAGCCTAAGATCAATATACCCTTTAGGGAGGTTATTACGGCCGTTGAACGCAATCAGGGCCGTGTTGCACGGCTTTAGGTACTCCTCATCTAAATTCATCTTTTTAAATGCCTGCCATAAAATTATGTCGGCACAACTGCCATTGTCCATAAAGATTTTCTTGACTCTACAATTGACTAGTGTTCCTGTAATGACCAGCCCGTGTACATGTCCCGGCATCACATCTTCCAACTCTTTCCTGGTGAAGTATAGCAACGGCTGCTCCGGCTTGGCTTCTTCTTTGAACTTAGGTTGCTCTCGGATCGAAAGCACTTCTCTTAAGTATTTCCTTCTGGCATTCATGGTATCATCTCCTCCGTCAAAAGCCCCACTAATAACATTGCATTCAAACTCTGGTTCCACGAACTCATTGTCCTCATTAGCCAGCTTCTTATCCCGGCTATCTTCCTTAAGTCTCTTTTCCTTTGTCGGACTCATAGGCTGGCCTCTCCTTTTTCTGTTGTTCCTCCATCCTTGGGTCCTTATCAGGTACTGACGCAACTTACCATCCCTGATATATTTCTCAATTGCATCTCTTAGGTCCCAGCATTCATCTGTAGTATTCCCGGGCCCATCATGAAAGGCACAATACCGAGACTGATCTAACTCGGCTTGGTTCAACAAAGGCCGAGGTCTGTCAACCTTCTTCATATCGCTGGAGGCCACCTCTCTCCAGATTTGTGATCTGGGTGAATTTAAAGGCGCATACTTCTCGAATCTCCCCCTTACTGGAGTTCTTTCGTCTTGCCTTTTACCCCGGAACTCATTTTGCCTCCGATTTTCGAACTTATCCATCGGCTTAGGATGGTGTTTCTGATCCATGTTCTCAATCTCCATCTGTTTCAACTCCAGGTACTTCTTTGATCGAGCCATGAACTCTACCAACGTTCGAACCGGGTCTTTGTATATTGATTTGGCCAACCTAGAGGAGCCATGCAACCCTGCTATTACCAGGTGCAGATGAACATTTTCAGATAATCCTGGAACCTGTAAGGCTGCCATTTTAAAACAATCCAAATATTTTTGTAAAGTTTAACCGGGTTGCTGCCTTATTTTCCCCAGCGCGAATTTTGATTTTGGTTGTTTCTTGCTAATAGCAAAATTCAGCAAGAATCTTCTGCCAAATTCTTCGAAAGATCTGATGGATCCCGCCGGTAATGACGAAAACCATGTTTGAGCCGCTCATGTCAATGTAGTTGCAAAAAGTCGTGTGATCAAAGGTTCCTCTATCCCCTTCATGTACATGGCCGTGTCAAAGGAATCCAAGTGTACTTGGGGATCCTGCGTTCCATCGTACTTGAAGAGCTCTGATAACAGATTCTCAGGGAAGGGTGCATCAACAATCTCGTCCACAAAAGGACTATCATTGTACTGTCCCCTGTTGTACTTTCTCCTGTATACCCCAGATACATCATCCCGGTTTCTGAGGTGTTGTCTGTCGTTTAGGGGCAGGTGATTCTCCATTTGCCTTGTTGTGCCCCCTCCTTCACCTCGGCTTCCTTCATGCCACGCTTCTTGACCTCGAGCAGGGTTAGTAACTACCATTAGAGCTCGGCTATCAACGTTTCTCACCTGACTCCGGGTCCCCCCTCGATTATCGTTGTTATGTTGAGGATTCGTGATCCTTAAGTCAGTCATGACCTGTGTTATCACTCGTGCGGGATCCGGGTTGGAGACCGCCATAGCCAAGTTTTCAATTCTCGAATTTGCCTAGCATCTTTCTTGCCTCTGGAGCTCATTCCTTCTTTCCATTTTCTCCATTCTCCGAAGCACCGCAGCGACAGCCAGATTTGTCACCCGCGGATCATTGGATGCACCGTTTGGCATCTGCGCAGCATTTGCAACTTGTCCCTCAATCGGTTGTAGCCCCTCTACATACGGGGCATCAGGATTAACGGCTGGAGTTGATGCTGAATCAGAGTGCACATCACTGATGTGCACAGCGTTGGTGTCTAGCTGTTGATGATCTTGAAGGACATGTTGCCCTTATGGATCCTCCCAGATCGGGGGAATTGGTTGGTGCCTGGGATTCGACCTTGAAGGCTGCCGGTAACCACTCCTAGTCGTCCTCACCATTTTAACCGACGGCTATCAACCACGTGATCATAGGAAAGTAGTTCCCCACAGACGGCGCCAATGTTCTGCCTGAGGCAGAGATGTCTAACCAGGGGTTAGATGATTGATGTTGGATCTGGTGCTTTCTCTCTAGATACCTATGAATTAGGTATCTTGGGGGCAGCGAATCACGACACACTATGTGATGGCCTTCGCCAGAGGGGGTGTATGTGTGCGAGCTTGTGTGATTGCATAAAAGTAGAGTTAAAAGAGATTAGTCATACCTGTGATCTTTAGCTCCTATTTATAGTGCTTACCTTTGGGCTTGTATCACTTGGGCCTTTTGTGGGCGTGGGCCTCATTCAGGTCCATAACAAAATGGATTGAGGAGAAAGAGAGGACTATTACAAGTAGTATAAAAAATATAAAAAAAATAAAAATATACTAGTCGAGCGTGATGCCTTTTTATTAAACGAGCTTTAATACAAGTTCAAACTAGGGATGTGCAAAATAATCAAAAAACTGAACCGAACCATGAACCGAACCGAACCGGCCCTTAAAATAAACGGTTTTTAAAAACCAGTTCATAAACTGAACCGGTAACCGAACTGATTTTTAGAACCAGTTTAAGAACCACACTGATTTTTAGAACCAGTTTAAGAACCGAACCATTTTGAACCGAACCGAACCATTTCTGAACTGAACCGTTTTCAAACCGAACCAAATTGTTTTTTATAAATTTATTTTTTAAATTTTAAATTTTTTTTCTTTTCAAAAGAGGGTCGACCTGAACCAGTTCCGAACCATTTCCAACTGAACCGAACCAGTTTTGAACCGAACCGAACCATTTAAACCAATTCGGTTCGGTTTTTCAAAAAATCCAGTTCGGTTCGACCCATGCACATCCTTAGTTCAAATAACATATTTTAGACATATAAGCTCAGGTATTCACGAGCTGAGCCAAAAGTCCCTAGTTCGTTTAACATCCCTAGTCAGGTTGATGAGTATGTGATGAGAGGGTCCTATTTGATTCAAATTAGGATCCAATTTGAGTCCTTTTGTAGTAGTGGGGTTTGGGTAGGATACGTTTGTGTGGTTGTAATTCCTAAAATAGAGTAGCTTGCAAATGCAACTTTTCTAGGACATATCGCATAAGGACGTGTTCATAAAGGGCACGCGGGTGATAAACCGAATTCAAAGGTGCTTGGCCCTTTAAAATTACGCTGTCCCTCTTTCTCGTGCTTGCGTTGGAACCTTTATCTTGTTTGGTTCATCAATTATTGTTTATGCAATATGTGAAATTTTTTATTTTTTGGTGAATATAATTTGTATAGTTCAAAGTAGCATGGTCCTATGCTAATGAGCAAGGGTGGACTGAGGGGAGGGGCAAGCATCGACATAGAGGTGGAAAAGTGGGTGGTCCGCCGCGGTCCGTCCCGTTCCGTCTCATCCCGTCATCAACCCTTCAAAAAATGAGTTAGTCTGTCCCGCTCTGCTTTTGAAAGTGGGCTGAAAAACCCAGCCCTCTCAGCCCCGTTTGGCGGGTTGGACGAGATAGCCCGCCAACCCGAGCCTATTTTACACTGACTCGCCTCGGCCTGCCTATGTCTGTCATCTATCCGCCAAAAAATGATTCTGCCCCGCTTTTGAGATGAGTTGAAAAACTCAGTCCGCCCTGCCCCGTTTGGCGGGTTGGCCTACCGAGCCGAGCCCGTTTTGCCGGCTCTACATGGACAGCCACTCCTTCCTAATTTTTTATTATTATTTTATATATAAAATAATATTTTTCAATAATAATAAATTATTAGTACTAATAGGTAATCTCTTTCTAAAAAATATTTATAATAGTTAATATTTTTTATTAGTCTCAATAATATTTATAATTTTAAATTTTTATTTTCACCTTCTATTATAAAAAAATTCTGGATCTACCACTATTAATGAGGTATTTGAATAGTTTTCTGTTAGTTGAAAAGATATGGTTTGTGTTTAGATTTTTCATTCAGCAGTAATTTTGCTTTATGGCCATTCTTCCAAATAATATCTAATGCTTAAATGTTAATTAAATATTTTTACTTTTAAGTATGTAAATTACATAATTCTTTGCAAGCAATATTTTGAATGGGCCTTTTCATTACGTTCCCCTTTATGACATAAATACATCATTCGAATATTGATCGATATTTTACCATAATCTATTCTCATTTTCAGCTTTTTTTTATAAAAAAATAAATAAATAAAAAATCAGTTTGGTATTTTTATGAGGCAAAAAAATTAAAATATTAATTTTTTAATAAATAATTACGAATAAGTTGTTGTTTTCAACCTATTTACAAATATATTGTATTCATTCACGTCCAAATTGGGCGTGACCATTCACGCCTAAATTAGGTGTGACTCATTCACGCCTAAATTAGGTGTGACTCATTCACGTTTAAATTAGGCGTGACTCGTCTGGTGTTGACACATGACATAAAAAGTTAACAGTTTAATCGTAAAACTTCATAGGGCCATAACTTTTGACTCGTGTATCTGAATCAGGTAATTCTTTTTTTCATTTCACATAACTTTTCAAGATCTACACAATGACATCTCATTTTATATATTTTATCTCTCACAAACGCAGTTCAAATTTGAAATAATGGTACTATAAAAATGGCACCAAAGTGGATTAGCTTATTTATAAATAAGAATACTTAATGTCATATTAAATATATACTTCTACCAAGTATTTGAAAAAAAAAATAGTGTTCAAGGTTATTGAATCGCAATACGTATCGTGTATTGTTTGGTCAATTTTTTATATCGTGAATCATATCGAATCGCAATATACAGAAATATAATAAAAAATAATTTAAAAATATATAACTTTTTATGACTTTTATCGAACCGTATCGTAAGTTACATACTTCTGTTTTATGACTTTTTCTTTAAATCTATTTAAATTATGTATGCCTAAGCGAAGGAAAAAATAAATATATTTAAAAGAAATATTAAAAAGGGACTAATGGGTATAAGAAAAGAAAACTAAACCTGAAATTGAATCCTGACTCTAAAGTTTGGAAACTTCTCTGATATAAAACAATGGCTGAGTCTTTATGGCTGGGTTCGTTAGAAGGTTATATGAATGGTTTTTAAAAATAAAATCTTTCTTTTTTAGAGATTTAGAATATTTATTTAATTATTTTCTTTATTAATACAGATTTTTCAAATTGATTTTTGAGTTTAAATCAAAAATCAAATCTTTATTTTGTTTTCCTTATGAATAATAATTCTTTAATTTTTTTAATTTAAATCACAAAATAAATCTTTATTTATTTTTATAATAAAAATTAAAAAAAATTGATTTTTTTAATTTAAATCACAAATCAAATCTTTATTTATTATTTTATATTAAATCACAAACTCAGAACTCGGATGCTTCTGGGTTTAAACGTTCTTATAATATCATTATTGCAAATTTGAATTGTGTTTGTGAGAGATAAAATATATCAAATGAGATGTTATTGCGTAGATCTCGAAAAGTTATGTAGGAATCAAAAAGAAATTAACTTATTCGGATACCCAAGTCAAAAGTTAGGGGAAGGATATTGTGACAACCAAGTTGTGTTACTACCAAGTGACTACCAATTAATCTCACTGTTAGATCGATCATGTTGATCCAACGGTTATATTTATTTTCATCTTTGTATGGTTATGATTTCCCATATTTAAAGTGAAAGCATTAAATATGAGAAATCATAACCATACAAAGGTGGAAATAAATATAAAATATTAAATTTGGCAAACCATGACCATACAAAGATGGAAATAAATATAACCGTTGGATCAATATAATCGATCTAACGATGAGATTAATTGGTAGTCACTTGGTAGTAACACAACTTGGTTGTCACAATATCCTTCCCCAAAAGTTATATCTTTTCAAAGTTTTAGGGTTCGTAAAT